GTCCTCCTCCTCCTCTTCCTCCTCCTCTTCCTCCTCCTCCTCCTCCTCCTTCTTCTTCTTCTTTTCTTCTCCTCCTTGTCCTTCTCCTTCTTCTTCTTTTTTTCCCCTTCTTCTTCTCCTCCTCCTCCTTTCTCTCTCTCTCTCTCCCTCTCCCTCCAAATATGCAGACCTCTGCCTGGCACATCCTCTTCTCTTATCTATCTTTCCTTTCTTTCAAAAGATCTATACCTTTCTTTCTTTCAAGCCGTGCTCAGTATTCTCCTCCAGGAAGGCTTCCCTAAGCACGCCAAATCCTTAACCCCAATCCTTCATTTATACTGTGTGCTCTTAGAATTTGGTACCCAGTTTCCAAACCTCATTTGCATGCATTTCCCAAGCTGATTTGTGTAGTCAGATTCCTTCTTAAACTAAGAGCTCCTCCTCCCCATCAGTAATATTTTGAGCATTTTATGTTCAGAATCAAGCATAAAAAGAGTCTGAGATACAGAAGTATGAAAAAATAAATTAGGTAACCTGGGCAGGGAAGAGATGGACAGTGGTGGGTAGAGGGTCACGCAGGTGGGACAACAAGATGTAGTTTGATATAAGAGACATCAGAACATGAGTACTGTCATTAAGCTTTTCTTCATTTGTCTGTATGCACATACTTCTGGGCTAGATGTGATACAGAAAAATTATGCACACAGTCTTCCTGCAATTGAAGGTCTCATATCACAGTGATATAATAAACAAAGGGCAATGAACACCAAAAAAGCAAAAAGAAAAATCAGAAGATTGTACACTGATTTTTTTGGTGGTGGGGGTGCAGTGGATTGAACCCAGGGCCTTCATACTGAGCCACATCCCTAGCCCTTTTTAAAATTTTGAGACAGGATCTTGACAAACTGCTAAACTGCCCAGGCTGGGCTTGACCTTGCAATCCTCCTGCATCAGCCTCCCATGGTGCTGGGATTACTGGCATGCACCACCACACCCAGTTTGTGGGCTGAAATATTAAATAATAATAATATCACACAGAAGTAAGTGTAATTAATAATAATGATCCAGATGTATGCAAAACAAGAGAGGAGGGCAGGGGTGGAAAAATTGGGGAGGGATAAAGAAGTAGGGGGGGTTCCGAATCCCATTACAGTGAGACCAAGGAAGTCACCAGCTTTCCTCTAACCCAAGAAATTATCCTTGAAATGAAGGAGTTTGGGGAATGTTTTGAATGATAGGAAAAATATGACTTACCAAAGGGTATAACTCCCATTTGAGAGCCAGGAGGAGATAAACAAGTAGGAGGGGATCACAGCCGATGCACTAGAGCCAGGGGCAGCAGAGCTTTGCTCCCATCTCAGTCTCTTACCACTCGCTGCCATAACCCAGCCCTGCACAGCACCTGCAACAAAATACTGTTCCCAACCGGACTGGGCTGATCTGAATCGGTTTTACCCCCATACACACCCAAGATCCCCTCTTCCCTACCGCAGGACAGAATTTCAAACCTTGGAAGAAATACTCCTTACAACTATATCATACTTCACAGTTTTCAGAGCATTCTTATATCTGATCTCAGCTGAGATGTCCACTACCTACTAAATTTCTATTCTGCTCTCTGTCCATAAAACTTAAACGCTGAGGCTGGGGATATAGCTCAATGGCACAGGTCCTGCATTCAATTCCTGGTACCAAAAAAAAAAAAAAAAAAAACAACAAAAAAAAACAATTTAAACCCTGTATCACAAATACACAGGGTGCTCTTAATACCTCTTTTACAGTACCTGATTCTTAGGTAGTGCTCAAGTAACACTAAGGGATCAAAGAATGGTCAAAGGGCTGGGGATTTAGCTCAGCGGCAAAAGCGCCTGCCTGGCAAGCACAAGGTCGTGAGTTCGGTTCCCGGTACCGGAGAAAAACAAACAAAAAAAAAAAAAACAAAGAATGGTCAAAAATGATCAGTCTTAGTTTCAACAAAATGGGGTGACATTTGATATCAGAGAAAATTTCCTATTCAGAATGCTGAGGCTGGAAGATCACCAGTTTGAGATCAGCCTGGGCGACTTAGCAAGACCCCCATCTCAAAATAAAATATAAAAGGGCTGGAAATGTAGTTCAGTGGCAGAGTATGTACAAGTCCCCGGGACCTCTGAATTGTGTGGAGAAAAGGATAACAAGAATCAAAAACATTAATAAGTCACAGAATTTGTCCACAAATTCTCAGGCCAGTGTGGACATTCTGTTTCCAGCTTCTAAGAAAGGAAGGAATATCCCTACTATGTCAGGAGTAGGTCCTTACACCTATGATAGATAGGTCATTTATCTAAGCCATACGCCAACTTTCTCCTTTGAGAAAGGTTGCTTATGGTTTTTTTTTTAATACCTACAAAAAGGATAACCTCACATGTTTTGTATGATACCTTCCTACTTCCATTACTAAGGTTTTGTTTTTGACTAGGGGCATTACTTAATGGTGCAATTTAAATGCTGTCCATTCAAAGAATCTCTCTTATCACCCCTGCCTTATTTTCATCCTACATATATCCCACATATATTTTGCTTTCTCCTCCTGGGGTTTCCGGCTTCCTTTCCCACTCCAAAGGCAAATAATCCTCCCCAAACCAGTAAAAGCTAGATGAAACGAAAGAGAGGATGTCTGGCTAAGGTAAAGGCCTTGAGCCCAGAGAGACTAATACAGGCAGGAGGAGAGAGCCACCCGCCCTCCGTCAAGGTGGCTTTGCCTGCAGTTTTTATTATGCATCGATTTTCTTATCCATCTTCTTTAGAGGCTCTTAGATCTTTGGGCTGCGGCTGTTTCTCCAAATTGTCATTCACTCCAAGCTCTCTAGCTCCTTGCAGCAGCTAACAGAGAGAGATTGCAAGGGGCGGGGGTGGAGAGAGAAGGCAACCAAGAGAGGTGAATGGGGGTTGCTAAGTAACCGTTGCCAAGGAGCAAGTACCAAGGAGCATCCCAAGCCGCCTGCTTATTCCAACCTATCCCCCTTCCACACCCTCCCCTCACGTAAGTTCTCTCAGGTCTATAAAGCAGCTTGATTCTGTCACCTTCACCAGCTGCAAAGCTTCTTCCTCAGCTCCTCAGGTAGAGGGCTGCAGATTCCATTGCTAAAGGCTCTCCTGTTCCTAGAGCCGAGCTAGTCATCATGGGTATGCATTCATTTTTCAGATGGCACAGTCAAAACTAAATGACTAAAATTCATTTAACTAACAAAAAGGAAGATCCTGTCTGCCTCAGTGGGTTATTTTGTACTATCTGTGCAGAGGCGGGCACAGCGGACAAGTGGAGAATCAGACGGCGACCATCTTCCTGAGAGGATTCAAGCCTCCATGGGGAAGTTTTATTTGATCTCAAATTTTGTGAGTTCCAAGAATACAAGATAGGTCTTGTTTCAGAATCAAATCCAACCCAAAGTGCCATTTGGGCTATTTAAATTTTGGATTTTTCATGATAGTCCCCTCAATCACTGCAGAGACTCTAAAAAGTGCTATATAATATTTCACAATGAATTTAATTGTTACTTCTGCTTCATTCTATAAATATTAGAAGTTCACAACCCTTCAGGGTGGTAGGGCAATTATCTAGTAAGAAAAATTGGTTTGAGTGGGGCAGAGTGTAGATGAGTTAAACCAATTAGCAATTCAAACTGTTTCACAAATAATCCAGAGGGCCTGGGGATTTAGCTCAGCGGCAAAAGCGCCTGCCTGGCAAGTGCAAGGTCGTGAGTTCGGTTCCCGGTACCGGAGAAAAAAC